TCCACTCCTCAGAAGGGGGCGGGCCTCCCATGGGAGTCAACAAAGCATGGCATACCAAGTTGAGGCAGGACCAATCTCCTCCCCCCTGCATCAAGGCTGAGCGAGGCATCCCACCATAGGGAAAATAAGTTCCAAATGCCAGCTTGTGCCAGGGACAGATCTTGGTCCCACTGCTAGGAGCCACAAACCGACCAAGCTACACAACTGTCACCCACATGCGGAGGGCTTAGGTCAGTCCCATGCAGGCTCCCTAGGTGTCGGTCTAGAGTCCCTGAGCAGGCCTTTTTTTTTAAACCTGACACAGCAATTGTTACAAGGAACTGAAATGTGATCACACTATGCTACAGACTTGAAGATGGGACCATGGTCCTATCAGAGAGCTCATCAAATTTCAAAAAATAGTTTGGGAAACAATCTGACCACACAGACATTGGTGTTAGAGTTACCTACTAAATGGGACTCAAAAAATTTTCTAGAATAGGAGCTTAGGAGGGATTGGTATTTTTAAAGAAACATCAGAGTAGAATGATTTTTAAACTCTGTTTGTCAATGACTCTACCACTTACCTAGGGTTCTCTTTTGTGTGGGACAAAATCCAAAGACCTATCAAGTTCTGTAAAATTCCTATAAAATCAGTATCCCTCAACTTGGCTGACCTCTTTCTGATTTCACCGATTTGATCAGATCATCTTCGTTATTGCCTAATGAACAATATCTCTCAGTTCCCTTTGTTTTTTACTGAAAGTTCCAGTCCCTCAGAGAAGAATTCCTCATTTCCACATCAATAACATCTTTCTACCAAGCACTGATCTACCCAAAGTAAACTTTCAGATTGCATTTTCCCCCAGTTCTTCTGTACTTTGATACATGCCCATGTCTCTGTCTTAAACACAGGCTCTTATTTCTATTAACCTGGTACTTCCTCTTCACACTGTCACATAAAACTTACCTTCATTAAATATCTAAACCTATTAGGTAAGCTGACCTTCTTATATAGCCTACTCTCTGTTCCAATAAAACAATATGTGGATTGGGGTATTTTATTTTACTTTTCAATGCTTCAATTTTTAACTCATAAAATGAGGATACTAATATTAAATCACGGGTTTATTATGGCTGGGAGCACAAAGGTCCTTGCACACAGAGATAAGCACTAGGGAAACCAGGAATATTAAACACACAGGATTGTCTTTTGAAAGCAAGAGATGTATAACCTGTTTTCTGCCAAGAAAGCTGTGAATGGAGGTGGCTAATATCCTAGATGACATCTGTAGGATCAAGCCACACCTGGCTCCCCCAAGCTTTCACAAGCAGGACAGAACATAGTTAATAACCCAGATGACCTCTGTGCTATCTACATGACTGAGACCACACCAGATTCTCCCCCTAGGCCCTTAAGATAATACATGTAGCTTATCTCTAGAATCCATTTTCATGGAAGAAGTGACATGTACGTTGAGAAGAGTTTTTATGTAATTGTGCCTCATTGTGCAAACAGGATTGTGTTACATCAGGAAACTTTTTTTCCAAATTGGACTGTGAAGCACGATCCTAATTAATCTTAACAATAAAAACCCAGAGTCAAATATTAGGGTGAAAGCTAAAAGATCAGAGAAGCAGAGCAGCCAGCCACTAGAGAGACTTCTTACCTTTAGGAATACTCAGACTTAATGAGCTAGATCCTGTCTCCACCTGCCTTATATTCCTGTCTCCACCTCCCATGTGCTGGGATCAAAGGTGTGAGCCTCCCAGGTGATGGGATTAAAGGTGTGAGCCACCACCAACTGGCTCTGTTTCTCTTTTAGACTGGTTCAGTCTTGTGTAGTCCAAGGTGGCTTTGAACTCTTGATCTTCCTGCTTCTTCCTTCCAAGTGCTGGGATTAAAGGTGGGTGCCACCACTGCCTGGCCTCTGTGGTTAACTGATCTCCAGGCAAGCTTTATTTGTCAGAACACAAACAAAATATCATCCAACAGTACTGTACTTAATATGACTAAAATAAACTGCCTGGTGTCAGACTCAAAGTTTGAACCAACACCAGTTATTGAGTCGGATTGAACTGGGATTCCTTTTTGCCTCATGCGGATCATTTCTCTGCCAGCCCTGGTGTTTTCAGAGATGTCCCCCCCCCCCACCACACACACACAACTGGCACCCAATGTGGGCCTTGATCCTCAGAGAAGATAAGAAAATTTTTCTTTAAATGGAATCAGAAGACAGGAGTTCAGTCCTCTCACCCAAGGGGTCATGACCACAAGTAAAAGAGGAAATAAACATGGGTTCTTCTCAGTTCTCTAAGACAAAGCATTTTATATAATATTTGAGATGTTTAAGATGCAGAGGAGCAAAATATTCAGAGTAAGAGCTCTGCAATTTTGTGCAAGTAACTGAAAAACTTAATCTTTGGTTTCCTGATCAAGTGACTGCCGATGTTAAATATTGGTAGCACATAGAAACTAATGTGAAGAGAGCCCATGAAAAGGGAGACAAAATCCCTATCAATTATTTTGCAATATGGAGTAGGTTAATGTAATGCTTTAACCCTGTTAGGAGGAGAAAAAAAAGAGTTCCCTGACAGACACATCTTGGCAAAGAAGGGCAAATGAACCCTGTAGCCACTCTGCCTTCCCATCTGAACCAGGTGTGTTCAAGGGTCACCTTCCCATGTGCTCTGATTAGAACTCAGAGCCCTCTTGTTGCACTGGTGTGGGGGCCCACAGGGGCTCTCTAGTAAGACCTTAATCAAGGTCAGAGAATCTGAGCTTGCTTTACACAGCAGGGCTGCATAATGGGATGATTTGGCCACGGGCATGGTTACCAGGTGTTTGGAAGGGTCTATACTTGGCTGTATGTTGTACTTTGATCTTGAAAGGGGGAGGTCTTTTGCCTCTCCCCTTGGCATGTTATAAAAAGCCCTTTGGAATAAACCTCGAGGCAATTGGGTATTGACCCAGGGCCCTCCCAAAGCTATCCTGTGTCTCTGTCTTTCTTATTGTCGTCTCTTTCTATCTTTCTATTTATCATTTCCTCATTCCTCTCTCCTTCCCCTAAGAACCCTTCAACAGGTCAGAGCTGGACTCTGGAAGACTCCCACACACTGGCCCACAGCCCTTTCTGCTACCTGGGGATCTGCCGAATGCAGAAAGCAGTATCTGATGCAACACTTGAGTTCCAAGGAATGGTAGGTGGGGCTCCTCTGCATAAGCTAGGACAGCCCCAGAGCTTAGTTCTTATTTCTTTGTTTGTTGTTCAATTTTGTTTGGTTTTCCTCACAGCAGGAATAACTCGATATAGATTGACCAATGGTCCCCTCATGGGGAAAAATTAATATGGGCCCAACTTCTAGTACAGGAACAATTGTAATAGGACATAAAGCACCTAAGCTGGTGCTGATTAAATTTACTGGGGTATTTGTCATTCCGTGTATGGATGGCATTTTCTTCTCCTGCTTGTCTAATCAATACTTAAATGAGTGCTTAACTTTCATGGTAGATAAACTAAAAGCAAAATTTAAAATTTTGAACCATGTCAATTGGAATTTGGCTTCATTCTTTAAGTTGCTTTCTGTAGCTTCTTAGTTAAATTCTATAAGAAATATAATACCCAAAGCAGAACGGGTTATTAGTTTATTATGTAATGCTTCTGCTAAAGTGGTAGCTCATAGAATTAGTCCCTTACTTCCTTATCAATTATTCTTCCTTCCTCTTCATTACCTACTGGAATTATATATCAACAAGGTAATGGTATTATAGAAATTTATGCATGTCATAATTCTCCACAACAATCTGTAACTCCTTATTTACAAGAAATTATAGACTCAATAATGATGGGAAGAACACATCTTAAACAACTTACTGGTAAACAGCCTATATAAATTATTGTGCCACTAAATAAAATGCAGCTTACTTATTCCACACTGATAATAATTGGCAGTTTGCATTAGCATGTTATTCGGGATCTATAGATAATTAATAATTATTCAAAAGATCTCCTTTTAAGATGTTTTTGAAGATACTTTGTGGGAATTGCCTAAAATTATTTCTAAAAATCTGCACTCCTTCAGCTGAGTTTTCTTTTCTTGAAAATAAAAGTAAATAACAAATTAATCCAATTCTATTGAAACATGACAGCAATACTGAACTTCTGGCACCTCTGTCTCTAGAGAGTTCTTACAAGCCTGTCCAGGAGGAAAGCCAGGACCAGCCGTGGCTGCTACTAACAGAAGGCTTCACCAAAGGGTTGGTGCAGCAAGTTGTCCGTTACTAAGACTGTAGAAGATGCTTTCCCAGCTGACGCCTGGTAAAATTATGCATCCATTCAGTGGTGCGTTTGCAGTATTAGCAAAAGAAGAATTATATCTGTATATCAAAAATGGATACTTTTTCATTTCAGGCACTGAGAGCCCAACATTTTTCAAATTTTAATTTTTGTACAACGTAACAAAAAATTTAAAAGTAACGACCTAAATGGGCTTGGGATGGATTTAAGAAGAAAAATAGAAGTAAATTGAAATAAAAAGATTTATTTAAACTATTTCTTCTGGATAATACAGGTCAAGAAATGAAAACGTAATTGTATGTTTCTTAAATTCACTTGGAGACCAGAAGGGGTTAAACCAAAAATACAACCAATAGGAGTTAGATTATTTTGAAGTTTCCATCTAAAACTATTTTTGGTACAGCCTAAAATCTATTACATTAGACTGACTACATAATGTAGTAAAAACTAAAGCCTCCCAGCAAATTCTTTCTCCATGAAACTGTTATGCTTTGATATTGTTCACAGTTTTGACTCATTAACAGTCCTAGCTGGATATGTATTTTCCCATACTTGCATGGAAAAACCCAATTGTTTTCTCCTTCAGGATTTTCTGTGATTATTTCTTTTTTTTTTTTGAGCATGTGTAGCCAAAGAACAAATGGATACAATATTTTTGAGTCATTTCACATTTACAACTCTTCTTTGACTTTTACACTTGAAGATATATTTGGCTAGATTAAAATATAAATAAACCACAGAAAATCATCAATACAGTTAAACATTTTAAACATAACAAAACAATGCATATTAACTTGTTGAGTCAGATGTTGGGTAGTTGCTGTTGGTCTCGATTATTTCTTATATACTTCTGAATATCCAATTGCCTGGTAGGAGAGTCTCCTTGAGCTCAAAATTAAAATTGCTCTAAATTTTAAAGATTCCAAAATCTTTTATCTTTGGTTTAAATCTTTCAAAGTTGATTACCATAATTAAGTTGATTTTGTCTGTCTGTTTACTTGTTTGTTTTAGTTTTGTTCTTGCCCTTGGTCTCATAAATGGTCAGACTCTGGCAAGGGAAGAAGTTAAAGGAGGCTCATGAGAGCCTGTCCTCTATTATAGACAGTATTTTACACAGTATTCCAAGCTTCTAGTGCATTATTAGTCATGAGTGGACATCAGCTTGACATCTGAAACAACAGCAATCTGTGTCTTGGGCCTTCTCTGATGCCATCTGTGTAAAGACCTGTGCTTGGATTGCACTACAGGCATGCACAGCACCTCTCTAACTAGTCAGCTGCAGAGCACAGCCCCAGGCATGGCATGGAGCCCTGGGGGCTACAGAAAAACACTAGTTAGTATGCTTCATGTGGAACTTACACATTTTCTTGCTAGGATTCCCACTACAACTAAAAACTGGTAATGATCCTGCTTATTCTAGCAAATGCTTTAGAGAATTTTGCAGTTTATGGAATATTAATCATGTTACTAATATCCCTTACAATCCACAGGATTAAGCAATTGTGGAACAGCACCATCAAATGCTTAAATGGCAAATTTTAAAAATAAAAAGGGTGTATACACTCACCTAAATCCCCACATACTATGCTACATTTATCTATGCTGAATTTAAATTTTTTTCACTTTAAAGGGATGTTTCTTCTTCTGATGCCCCAAAGCATTTTTCCCTAACGGAGACACAACCTAAAATATATGCTAAATGAAAAGATTTAGAAACTAACCAATGGAAAGGGCCCAATATTCTAACATTGAGGCTAGGTTATGCTTGTGCAGTGGTTTGAATAGGTATGGCCCCCATGGACTCATGTATCTGAATTCTTGGCCATAGGAAGTGGCACTATTAAGAGGTGTGGCCTTGTTGGAATAGGTGTGGCCTTGTTGGAGGAAATGTGTCACTGTGGAAGGGGGTTTGAGGTCTGATATATACTCAAGTCATGCCCAGTAAGACAGAGACTCCTTCTGCTGCCTGTGGATCAAGATGTAGCGCTCTCAGCTACTTCTCCAGCACCATGTCTGCCTGCACACTGCCATATCCCGCCATGATGATAATGGACTAAACTTGAAATTTTAAGCCACTCAATTAAATGTTTTTCTTTATAAGAATTGTCATGATCATAGTGTTTCTTCACAACAATAGAAACTCTAACTAACACAGCTTTTGTCTTTCCGGAACATGAATAAAGTCCCATATGGCTCCCACTCTGATGCATCCAACAAGGACAGCATCCCTGAGACCACCAGACAAATGGAACATCTGGAGGCAGACAACAAATCCATCAAGAGGAGACAGTCCAAAAGGAAGAGTAAGCTGATAACTTGGGGAGACATCAGCACTATAACTCATCAAGCTGAGACTTTGGGGAAACAAGAATACAATACCACTGACCCCAAAATGATGCTGTTATGTTTACTGACTGTATTGCATGCTAATTCTCAGCTTGTCAATACAGAATTCAAATGCTTTTTGTGGAAATAAAAGGCATACCTGTAATAGGAGACAGTATGATGTTGTTTTGCCATGCTAATGATTGTTTTTATCCTTTAGGACCAGTTCTCCAGACAAAAGATGGTGTACAAATATTTAGCACACCAATGGGGGATATTTTGCTTGGACTAACTGATCAGTCAAAATGCAATAAAATACAGATTTTAACATAATTAAGTACTCTTTGGAAAGCTCTGAAAGTAGAAATTATAGTCGTATGAAGATGAAAAAAGGAATGCCCTGGGATTTGATTCAAGATGGCAGTGGCCATCTGCACCCAAGGAGCAGCTCTGAGGAAGCTGAGAGACCCATAGAAGTTCTGAGGAAAGATGCAATGGAGGCAGAGGCAGTGGAGGAGGAGTCTGCAGAGCCCACAGTATCTCCAGAACAACTAAACAAGAGGCAGGTCTTATGGGAAGATGCTTTTTAAAAAGTGGTCTCATAAAATTGGACAGGAAGATGGTGGAACATAGCAGCATGCAGAAGAGAGTGTATGAGAGCTTGAAGGAACGTGTCATTGCTGAGTAGGGTTAGTCCTGCGTCTACCCGGAGGTGGAGGCCAGTTGACCCGGCCCTTAGCATTGAGCCTTGGCTACTGCAGCTCTTGATGCTCACCCTGCTCAGTGGAGGAGAGTGTGGGGCCCAGTGCTGCCATTGGTCATGCCTGGTGAGCCGCTAGAGCCACTGGCATAGAAGTGTGCAATGACCTAAAGCTCCCTCAGATCCTACCCCCCAGATGTTCTGCCCAGCCACAAGAACACCCTGATGCTGGGCAACAACAGGATATCTTGGCCAGAAACTTTGAACCATACCAATGACTGTTTCAATGAGTATTTGCATGTAAAGCTGTTTGGGTTTGGGTAAAACACACACTAGTGTGTGTGTGTGTGTGTGTGTGTGTGTGTGTGTGTGTGTGTGTGTGTGTGTGACATACTGCAGTTTGCAATGCCACTTCAATGAATAAATGTGTGATGGAGAGGTGGGAAAGATGGAGGAACCGAATGATGCTCGAAGAGAGGTGGTGGGTGTGGAAGGGGGCATGTTATTGCTGAACAGGGCTGGCAGGATGGTATGCAGCAGTCTGGAGCTCTCGCAGGCCCTACCCCCAAACACACTGCTTAGCTACACGATCCTGCCGTTACTCAGAGACTCTGAGTAACGGCAGGATGGAGAATGATTCATTTTCTGGATTGGGCTCCCTTGAAAGACCTCCATGGTCCATGCTGCCTCCAGAGACCATGATGGTGTTCATAATCTGTGCTATAGCCGAGGGCCCTGTTGATGTTCATCATGCTTGTTACCACCAAAGGCCTTGTTGGCATCTGTGGTGTGTGCTGCTACCACAGGCCATGCTGGTGTCAGTGGACCATGCTGCTTTGTGTGTGTGTGTGTGGGGGGGGCATGTAGATGTCTGTGATCCAAGCAGCTGCCAGAGGCCATGTTAGTGTCAGTGGTCTGTGCTACTACCTGAGACCATGTTGATACTTATGGTCCATATTTCCACTGGATTACATGTGGATGGATGTCTGTGGCCTGGGATGCTGCCTGAGGCTATGTTGATATCCGTGGTCCATGTTGCCACTGGCTACTATGGACCCTTGTTTCTTTTGCAGTGGTATCCATATGACTGCAGACTCAATAGTTGAGGATGAGAGACACTGAAGGCTACTGTGACACACACACATACACACTCCTAGCAAATAATCAGTCTAGGCAGGAAGCCATGATAAAGGTGCTGAAGTGTAGCTCTTCAAAGCTGATGGCTCCTGGTGGGGGGTGGGTAGGGAAGGACTCGGTTTTCTTTAAGGGGCTGGCCACTGGGAGTTTGACCATACACCAATGAATATATGGGCAACACAAATTGGACTTGGTGTATTTTTTTTTCTTTTTGAAGGGAGGGCACAAGTGTAGGAGGGTAGACCTAGAAGGAATGGGAAGTGAATGTGATCAGGGTGAATTGTGTGAAATTCCCAAATAATAAAAACAAAATATTATGTTGGGGAAAAAAGGAATACCAGACATATTGTTTACTAAAGTTGATATTATTGTACCTAGAATATTGCTATCTGTTGCCAATGGCTTAGAAAATAAGATCTGGGCCAGGCGGTGGTGGTGCATGCCTTTAATCCCAGTACTCGGGAGGCAGAGGCAGGCAGATCTCTGTGAGTTCAAGGCCAGCTTGGTGTACAAAGCAAGTTTCAGGAAAAGCTCCAAAGCTATACAGAGAAACCCTGTCTCACAAAAACAAAAAGAAAGAGAGAGAGAGAGAGAGAGAGAGAGAGAGAGAGAGAGAGAGAGAGAGAAAAGAAAGAAAGAGAGAGAGAGAGAAAGAAAGAAAGAGAAAGAAAGAAAGAAAGAAAGAAAGAAAGAAAGAAAGAAAGAAAGAAAGAAAGAAAGAAAGAAAGAAAGAAAGAAAGAAGGAAAATAACCTCTGGCTTCATTTGGCACATGGCAGTCAACAAGAACAATCTTTTCATATCAGAAGAGACCTGTCTATTCCTGGGATCTTAAAAAGAAATCTGTATGGCATAAGGGTCACTCATATGCACTAGGTACAAATAACAAGGACAACATAGAATCTGCCTGCACCCATATTCATAGGGATTTGCCTGATATTCCTGTCAATGGTGTTTTCTATCACATTGTTTATGCTTTAAATGTACTCAAATCCCTCCTTATTGCAATTCCACCTCTAATCATACCTTTCCCTCTGGTAAACAAATGCCTTTAGGATGGACCATTTTTGTGGAAATGCTACTTATGCTGCCCTTCCTGCAGGTTATACAGTTTTATGTGGGGGTAGGCCATATTACACCCATTTTTCTCAGTAAATCTTTGCAAACGATCAATAGAATTAAGAGAGATCTCCCTCAAAATTGTGGTGACTCTGCATCTATTCCATCCTGTAATGATTGCAGCCACAACAGCTCTTTCATTGACTATCCCTGGAATGGTTCCTGGAATACAAAGAGAGGTCTCAAAGATGGCCTGGATGGTTAGTAAGACTACTAATATTACAGCAAAGATATTAGCAAAAATCAACCTAGATGAGTGAGTTGAGGACCACAGTTTTACAAAATAGAGCCACTATAGATTATGTATTGCTCAAGCATGATCTTGGTTGTCAACAATTTCCTGCATGTGTTACTTTAATGTGTTGAGTTTTTATCATATATTGATGGTCAAATTAATTATTTAAATAAAGAGATAGATAAAAATCTCTCAAGTGACCTTTGAATGGCCATATGGCTAAGATGATTTTTCCCTTTCTTTGGTCCTATGTTACCTATTCTTATAATTCTTACATTTGTCTATATTAATTAGACTAGCTCTAGAGGCTATGTATTCAATCTTGGTCTCTATTACAACCACTATTTTTTCTTTAAAAACTTAGAAATGTGGATATGTAGAAGGGCATGAGGTCCTTGTGCTCACTGATAAGCCCTAGGGAAACCAGGAATGTTAAACACACAGGGTTGTCTCTTCAAATGAAGAGTTGTATAACCTGTTTCCTGCCCAGAAGGCTGGGAACGGAGGTGACTAATAGTCTAGGTGACCTCTGCACTACATATATGTCCAGGGGCTCCCCCAGGCTTCCACAAACAGGACCAAAGGTTGTCTACACTCCAGATGACCTCTGTGCTGTCTGTATGACTGAGACCACACCAGATTCTCCCTTAGGCCCTTAAGATAACACATGTAGCCTATATTTAGAACCATTTTCATGAAAGAAGTGACATGTATTTTGAGAAAAGTTTTTATGTAAATGTGCCTCATTGTGCAAATAGGATTGTGTAATACCAGGAAACTTTTTCCAAATTGTACTGTACTAAAATATGCCTATAGTAACTTGCCTAGTGTCAGACACTTGAAGTTTGAACCAACACTGGCTACTGAGTTGTGCTGAACCAAACTTCCTTCTTGCCTCATGCAGATCATTACTCTGCTGGCCCTGGTGTTTGCAGAGACCTCCACATATTATGATGTGCAAATGAAAAGCTCAATGTAGAATACTTAGGACAGTTCTGAGCATGGTATACAACATTTAGTATTGTTTAATATCATTAGAATGAGTAGACTCATGTGTTGAACTTTAAGATTCTATTCCTCAAAGCAGAGGGTATATGCTTCTTATATGTAAATGATAATATCTATCAGCATTGCAGAATGAATAAAACATGAATTATTAATAAATACAGCACTCCTCCATAGACTACCATATATTCCCACATTCTTCACCCTAATTTTCTCAAATGACTAAATATCAAATAAAACAGCTTCTACTCACTTAAATTTTATCCTTATGTTTTGTACAACCTACAGAATAATCTTCCATGGCATAGCTTATCCTTATTCTTCTCTATTATTAATGACACAGAGTACACACACACACACACACACACACACACACACACACACACACACACACACACACAGGCACGCACGCACGCACAGAGAGGGGATGAAGGGGAGGTTGCAAGCTTAACTGAGGAAATAATGATGATAAGGGGAGATTCAATACACAATTGTAGTTCACGCGAGCTAGAATGAAGGACCAAATCTCACAGTGGGAACCCTGTTACCTAGTTTATACTCTTTAGACTCGTTGCTATAGAAGTTCTAGACGACACAAAAAGAGTGAAGCTACAAAATTTTTGACAATGGGAAATTTTGAAGAACTTTACAGGGAAATGTTAAGAGAATTCATGAGGAAAATACAGATCAGATTCTATAAAATTCTTGGTTAAAGCTAAGGAAAAATACCTAAGGAAATTCCCTTAGGTCCCACTCTCTGTAGTGCTAAATCTGGGACTAGAT